TTACTTCCCCTGAGTGTGTGTGAGTGTATGGTCACCAAGCTTCCATACACCCTTACAGCTTGACTCAAGAAATAAAAAATATATTAATAAATATTACAAAAATCTTTAAAGCATAACATATTCTACCCAAACCTAAGCCTTGAATCTTCGTTGGATTGCACATGATGTTCCTGAAATATTAGTACATACACAAACAAATATACATTGCAATTACAAGTAGAAATAAGGATGTGAATCATAATGTTTGTTATCATCAAAAACATAAACTCATGAGCTCGAGTTGCAACATATGGGTCTTACATTGGTTTGTGATTGAGGGATCCAATCTTTGAAGCTGAATTGAGAACACATGTCTAACTTCCAATCATAAAGAACTTTAAGAGAGGAGGGTCTTACCATCAGTAGAATATATGAATTCATCTAAGAGTGGGAGGAGCTAGTAACCTATATCTAGACTCTAGCAAAAGTCAATCGGCTCTTGGCAGCGGTTAGGGCATCGATAGCCAGAAGGATACAAATATAGCTTGCTAATTTGGAGATGCCTTTGGGGGTTCTGCAAAAGAAAGGAAGATTCATTATATTAATCCAAAGAGGGATGGAGGGAACTCTTCATTCTTAGGGATGAAATCAGGTGTCAACTTATGCATGATAAATGGCTTGCCGATGAAGAACTAGGGGCCACCAAGCTAGGCATGTTTTTTTTTTTGTAAAGATGCATATAGCATTAGAAAAAGAAAAAAAAACTATTACAAACTAGAAAGGAAAAAACTAAAAAGCCCTCCGAAACTATCATAACAGATATTTGATATAATAATTCCCATTTTAAATCCTTTGGGGTGATGAAGACACCAAATATTTAAATAATATAAAAGATTGGTTAGTATCCCAGAGTTCCCAAAAGAAAAAAATGACAACTTGTAAGAATCCCATAAAATAATACAATAATTCCAAAAAAGCAAAATAGATCTAACAAGAAAACCACACACTACTAAGAAAAAAACAAAATAAACAAGAACTCCAACTACAAAAGCTCTTAATAAATCTTCTTCAATGCCCTTTGAAGAAAAAGAATTCCCATCAAGCTGCATATTAGAGATAAATTTCTGCACCTCCTTGAACGAAGCAGCTAAAAACTGAGATTTCTAACAATATTTAAGAACCAAGTCTTCTAATATATTTTTGCAATATTCTTGAGTCAAGAAGACAATAATAAAAAAATTTGCATCAATAGAAGAAGTGATGCAAACTTCTTTAATAATATCCACTGTTCTGAAATAAGCAAAAGCTTTCCTCTTTAAAGTTCCTTCCCTAAGCCGAGCCATACTCTCCATCATCCAGAAACAACATCACCCTCCGACGGCTTCAAATCAAATTTTCTTTTCCTAGGATAATCCTCAATAGGTCCTAAGAATTTAAGTTGTTTAGTGCTCTTTTGTTTAACACTAAACAACCTAATCTCCTTATTTCTATCAATGAGACAAGAAGAATTTGTCTTAGGAACATCCTGTTTTGGAGAAGACTCTATATCTTGAGATATCACTCAAGTACAATTTTTAATTATTTCCTTATCAAATTCTACAGCATCAACATTCGAAACTACCAAAGTAGATTCCTTCACATCCTTGGTTGATTGAATTTCTTCTGGTTCAGAATTTTTTCTAGAAGATTTAGAACCAGCGACCAAATCAGGTTCATCACTTGATTTTTTGAACAAAGCTGAATCAAGAATACATCCATCAACAGTCAAATTTTTAACATCTGTAGTCATATTACCCAATTTTTCTTGAGAATTAACCATACATGTAGCAACAATCTTCTCACTAACAAATTCAGAATCTGGAATATCTAAAACCCTGTCTTCAGCAACTTTATGCAAGCCGGGAAAATTTTCATGAGATAAAACATTAAATTTATTAGCAGCTTGAGGATCCACACCCTCTTTGATAGAATCCTTACCACTTTTCCAAAAAAAATTTACTCTTTTTCCTAAACTTCACATTCATCCACGGACCATACATTGTTTCAGGATTTGTATTACCGACATTCCTCTCCAACATCTTTTCAGTCATTAAACATTCCCTTTACAGTAATTACTCTTCACTTCCTTAATACCATTATCAAGACCTTCATTATTGACATCAAGGCACTCTCCAAGTACATGGCCTATCTTACCACATTTAAAAAAAAATGAATAAATCTTTTCATACTCCACTTTTTGAAAAAAAATTATCATATATGCCTTCAATACAAACTCCATGAGATAATTTTGAGTCAAGATTAATACGAATACATGCTCTTGCAAATTCTCGCTTACCCCATTTAAACACGTTTCCATCTAAATACATAAAAAATCCTATCTTTGAAACAATTTTAGTAACATTAACCTCATCCCTATAATGTAGAGGTAAATGAGGTAGCTGAATCCAAATTGGAGAAGTAGGCCTTTCAAAGAGATTAGAGAAAACTGAGTGTCCACTTATCTATCCCTATTATATGTCCTCCCACATACCAAGGTCCTCTAGTTTTCACATCCTCCATAGCTTGAGATGAATGGAAAGAGCACAATAACAAATCAAGGCCTAATGAAGTAATATGAAAGCTTCCAAATTTACTCCATTGACACCTTAATTCAATACTACAAAGAGAGAAAGGAACATTTTTACCAAATACTTTAACCACCGAAGATTTCTGTAATAATTGAAAATTCTTGCATTCCTTATCACTGTTGATTTTAACAATATTATCATCTTCTACATCACAATAATTTGATTCCAAAATATTCACTTTAATATGATGATTCTTTACCCAAGTGTTTGTAACTTTATAATCAAAACTGTTTTTCAAATTATCTGAAACAAACTATCCTGATTTTCAGGAGCAATTGAAGTATTCAAAAACCGATTAACTTTTAAATAGAAACCTGAAGACGTTAAGGCTTCAAAATCATTCGCTAAACATTCAATTCCTGATACAAAATCTTTCAATGGCAATGAAAGAAATACCTTAGGGGATAATGTCGTCGCCTTATCACTTGCAATTTGAGCAGCTTTTCCCTTTCCTTCCACATAAACAGGAACACTAACAGATGCGGTGAAACCTTCTTTGATTACCAAAGGATGTTGCTTCAGCCTTGCATTACGTAAATCCTCCCGATTGTCATTGCTTCTACCTATGGAGCCCCAACGAAGGTTGGGATTCCTAGTAGAATGGGGAATGGAGGTATTCCAATCATTCGAACTATATGACCGGCGACCCTCCGCTACCATAACGGAGCAAACCGGGAGATCAAGAACGAAAAAAAATTTTGAAAAAAAATGAAATTTTCTCTCACTAAAAACCTGGACTCTCTCTCTAATTAATTTCAGCAAAGTTCAATATTAGGCCAAGCATGTTCGTAGTCTTCCAAGGATCCAAATTTAAGGAGGAAGAAGCCGTCATTCATGGTAAAAAGGGAGAGAGCCTGTGAGGGGCCAAGCCTTTTACTGTCGCCAATAAGGAATCATAGAATGGCCTTTTTCTAATGAAGTAGCTCACTAGGGATAGGGACCACTCGGGAGCTCCAACAACGAGCGGGTCTTTGGTAAATTGGGCAATGTTGTTGAGGGTAGGAACAAAGGTAAGAGAGTGGAAGAACTATGTGGATACTGGAAAAATCAAGGTTCTTCTATTCAAGAAGAGGTTCGACAAAGGGGCGAAGGACGGAGGGAGAGGAGGAAGAGAGTGGGGGAAGTCTGAAGCGGCCTTGAGGAGGGAAGGAGCCCCCTGGCTTAGGAGAGATTATTTTGTGCGGACACCAGACGTGAGAACTGTCCTGTACTGCTTGGTACCAGCATGGCACTACCCGATATCGCGCTCGGTACTGAGTGCGGTACACTTTTTTGTGGGACATGATGCATTTTTATTGGTCTCTGGACGACGTCCGAACTCTGCACAGAACAATTTGACCTAGCTAGGAAGGAGGAAGAGTCGGCTGGGGCAAAACATGGAACACTAAGCAAACCAAGAGAACCAAAAAAAAAAAAACTCAAACAAATCTAAATCTTTGAATCAACGTACCAATATCAACTACGTCAAGGATAACATATAAAATATTTGACAACTAACAACTACCGAAAGGATTGGCGACAACTGTGTTCGTCTGCTCCCCATAATCGACGCTTTCGAGCCGTGACGACCGGTGCTGAGCACTCGCTGTCGCGTTCACAGCACTTTGTCGAGTAGCTCCGCTCTTCTACGTTCAGAATCGTCCATCATGCTTACCGTTGCAATTCAACGACTGATCTTAGAGTCCCAGGCAGCCAATACAAGGAGATGAATTCATTAAGCTAGTAGCGGGACCCACCGCCACATGGCGCGCCGAACTACCCAGATAGATTCAATTTCTTCTAAAATAGCTGCTTACTTTGAACGCCAAACAGCGAAACAACAAATTGAAAGACTCATATTTTTAACGATGGATGACGCGGCATCTGCTTCTTCGTTAGTTGAGCTTTTTGGTACGTTCTTAAATCCAGTTATAAAAAAATGGTGCACTGGCTCCCGCTGGCAATTTCACCCCTCACCCCTCACGAACTCGAAAAATTATTGCGCCCTCCCACCTGACGTAGAGATACGTCCTCCCACCGCCAAAAAACTCGGTTTTTGCTCGGTATTGCTAGGTATTATTTGATAATAACGAGGAATATCATCATGTGAAGACCAATACTGAGTTATACCGAGCTATACCGAGCAATACCGAACAGTTTTCTAGGAAAAACTAGGTATTTTTTTGTATTGCTCGGTATTGCTCGGTATAGCTCGGTATAACCCGGTATTGGTCTTCACATGATGATATTCCTCGTTATTGTTTGGTATTGCTCGGTATTTGCTTGGTATTTCTTGTTTTTTAGCACAATTTTGGCGGAGGGAGGACGCAATAATTTTTCCACGAACTCACCCCTCACCCAGTACCCTGTATCTACAGCAATTTTGTAAATTTTGTACAGTTGCAAAATAGCATTTTTGATCTAATTACAGATCGTCGTAACAAGAAATATGGCCAAAATTTATAATTAAATAAATTTTTTCGTGTAATAAACCAACGGCTATATCTACTTCATTACACGAATGACGATTAGCGTTTTTGAATTGTTCGAGATAGCGATACAGCATTCAAAGCTCCCTTGACACTAATGTGAGTGCGAGACAGAGCGAAATTCCGCGACTGCGTTAGCTGGACTTCCGCGGTTCCTTGTTGGCGAAATGGCCTCCTTGAGATCTTCGTTGGCGGCGATAGAGGTGATGATGATGATAATGGCAGCGGCAATGGCGGGGATCTGCTCTGCCGGAGATCCATTTGTGTACTTCGACTGGAACGTTGCATACATGAAAGCATCCCCTCTTGGGGTAGAGAAGCAGGTGGGCGCCGCCGAGAACTTGCTCCGGAAATCTCTCTTCGATCAGCGCTTTCTCACTCTCTTTCTTTTTGTCTAAAATCTAAGATCGATTATGGATGACATTTCTCCCCAAACCTATCTTGTCACTCTTTTTGCCTTTTTGATGGCGCAGTGCTGTCCCGCTGCTCTTGTTTACCTCTCATAGTTGTCGTCTGTTGCAGGTGATATCGATCAACGGCCAGTTTCCGGGTCCCCTCGTCAATGTGACCACCAATTGGAATGTGGAGGTGAATGTGCTCAATAGTCTGGACGAACCGCTTCTCATCACTTGGTAACAAAATTTACTCCACCGATGATGGAACTTGAAAATTTTGAGTTTTGTTTCTGCATTTTACTGTGTAGAACTAGGGTTTTTGCTCGTGGGGTTTTGATGTCTTTTGGGTTGGTAGGGATGGAGTGCAGCAGAGGAAGAATAGCTGGCAAGATGGAGTTATGGGAACGAACTGTCCAATTCCAGTAGGATGGAACTGGACTTACCGGTTCCAGGTGAAGGACCAGATTGGGAGCTTTTTCTATTTCCCTTCAATTGGTCTCCAGCGGGCGGCTGGAGGTTTTGGTGGGTTTACTGCTAATAATAGACCAATCATTTCGGTGCCGTTTGACACACCGCATGGAGACATCACTCTTTTTATTGGAGACTGGTTTAATAAGAACCACACGGTGAGTGCTAATGGCAGAATTACTTGGTTAAAGAAGAAAGATAAAAATAAAAATGGCTGCTATTATTTGTAGGATTTGAGGAAGGAGCTCGATCAGGGGAAGTCTCTCGGAGTTCCCGATGGTGTATTGATGAATGGAAAGGGGCCTTACCGGTACAATAATACTATCGTTCCTGCTGATATTGTCCATGAGACAATAAACGTTCAACCGGGTCAGATAACTGTTTCCGTAAAAAATGCACATGTTTATTTGTTAATTTGACGTAGAAACTGTCCTAGGGCTATTTTTTCCGGTTATTGCATTGACTTTTGGCTAGTCTTCTATTTGAGAAATTATTACCTGCAGAGTCCGGAGGTAGAGTTACGTATGTACTCCAATAAAAATATGACATGTGTCCTTGTATACAGTGTGTCCAAGTTTATATACACTATGTATATACACAATCGAACAATTTGTACAAAGTACGTTTAGTTTTATACAGTGTGTACAAATTTGTACACACTGTGTACACATTTTTATTAGAATCCGGATGTAACTCTTCTATTTAGGCTTTTACTATTTGTTAAGTTAAAATATTGTAGTGAAAATCTTGTTCATTTTTGGGGCCGCGCTATTTTTGCTTGGTGTATTTTAAGCGATTTAATCTATCTCTCTCAAGTTGCCTTTAATTGTTTGGTAGTTCCACTTTTTTCTGTTAGTATCTTTCACTATTTGTAGACAAGATATTTATTTTTTTCTACTTGTCCCATTCTTTATCCGGTGATCTCCAGGTATTAGCTGAATTATCCCAGTCTAGTTATTGTCCTATTACTTTTGACTATTGCTAATCATACAATACTAATCCGAATGCTTTTCAAGAGGTAACCAAATTTAGGGAGGGTGTAGACAGTGGCAATAAATTGTGTCATGACTTTGAAGAGGAAGATAATGGTATATTTGATATTATATATAGTTGATGAAATCATTTAATTTGAATTTGAAATCAGTTGACTAAAACTAATACAATATTAGTCAAAACACTAAAATTAAATAATAGTTAACTCAAAAAACCTTTGATGAAGTCTCCTTTAATTTATTTGATATTGCTTAACTGACTCTTAGAATCTTGTTTCTTGTAACAGGAAAAACTTATCGGTTTCGTGTCCACAATGTTGGAATGTTTACTTGTTTAAACTTTAGAGTCCAATCCCACAACCTGCTTCTCACTGAGACAGAGGGATCATACACAGTGCAACAAAATTATACTAATCTAGATATTTTTGTTGGTCAGTCCTACTCTTTTTTGATAACTATGGATCAAAATGCAAGCAGTGACTACTATATTGTGGCAAGTGCTAGATTTGTGAATGGTTCAAAATGGGATAGGGTTGTAGGGGTTGCGATCCTTCACTATTCAAATTCCAAAGGCAAAGCATCTGGCCCACTTCCTGATCCACCTAATGATGTCTATGACAAAACTTACTCGATGAACCAAGCAAGATCCATCAGGTTTGCGCCCAATGTGCCTAATTTTAATTTTTTTAAGAACTTTTTCGGGCATGCTAGTTATGTTTTTGACATATTGGTATATATACATGTTTAGTTAATGCATCAATATTAGTATAAGTAAAGATCTCTTTTAATTTATGTTCCAATTGCACATAAATAAATGCCATCGTGTCTTTGTTTGCATAAATTTTTGCTTTTTAATGATTCTTTTTAATTTAGTTTGTAAAAAGATTCCATGCTTATCTTGTTCTTTGTTATCTCCTTATGATTCATAGATTCTATGCATTTTCATTTATCACGTATTCATGGTCGTTAAGTAAGGATTATCAATCTTTTAATAATGAAAATCATTTTTGGTAATTCTCTAGGTGGAATGTGAGTGCTAGTGGTGCCCGTCCCAATCCTCAAGGATCTTTTAGATATGGTTCCATCAATGTGACCCAATTATATGTCTTGAAAAACCAGCCGCCAATGCTTATAGATGGAAAGCGTCGTGCCACATTGAATGGAATTTCATATTCTTCTCCAGAGACACCTTTGAGACTTGCTGACCAATATGATAAGAAAGGAGTTTACAAGCTTAATTTTCCTACTAAGTATGATCCAGGATCACCAAAAATTGCAACTTCTATAATTAATGGCACATACAGAGGCTTTATGGAAATTGTATTTCAGAATAATGACACTAGAGTTCAGAGTTATCACTTGGATGGATATTCATTCTTTGTTGTTGGGTATGGACACTACAATATCTTAGACTTACACAAATTATTAAACTAATATTGAGCTTTTGAACTTTATTTATATTAAGTTAAAGTTTATCATTGATATTGAATGATTGATTTGCTCATATACAGGATGGATTATGGGGATTGGACTGATAATAGTCGGGGCACATACAATAAATGGGATGGTGTAGCACGTAGCACAATACAAGTGAGTAAATTACAAGAAATACATGTCAATTGAAAATATAGTTTGCACTTCAACTTATATTATCGTCTGACACGCTTGGTACTTTATTTGCATGACAAGGCATAACTAAACAAAATAGTAAGACCTATATGCATGCTATTGTGCATAGCAACATAGCAACATAGCACGTGTTATTTTATTTTTCTTGTTTATTTTTTATATTTTAGTTTATTTATTTATTAAATTTTCTTGTATGAATAATAAACTTTTGCTAAACACTAGTTATAGTATAAAGAGAGTTTTTGAAGCTAACTTCAACTCATGTAAATGTATGTACTCTATTCTCCAATTAGAGCATGACAATAGATTTATGAGAAAGAGAAATCTTTCACCTTCACATTTAGGGTTTTGACCGACAATGCTCATGTCTTGAATGATAATTTTGCCAGAAAACTTGCAGAATATTTACCCATCTATCTTTTTTTAAATTTTGGATGAGAAATTAGGCTATATCTTGTCTTTGATGCATTGTTTACGGATGTCCTTTCTTTTAAAGTTCAGCATTTTATATATTTTTCTCAATTGTCTAATTTATCAAGAAAATTATAAATATTCTTTTCCACATAATACATTAAATTATGCTATATCTTGTCGTTGATGCATTGTTTACGGATGTCCTTGCTTTTAAAGTTCAGCATTTTATATATTTTTCTCAATTGTCTCATTTATCAAGAAAATTATAAATATTCTTTTCCACATAATACATTATACTTTAGCCATATATATTTTTTGAATTATCTAAACAAAGATTAATCTCCTATAGCTTTCCCTCTAATTAAAATGAGTTGCATATATTTACATGTTCTTATTTTACTCTTTGACTTTGTGAGTATGAGTATCTGGAAAACACTTTCACATCCATTTACTTCTCCGCAAGACATGCTTTAGAAATGCGTTAACCGTCTCATTTGGTGTTATTCTAAGTTACTTCTCGTATTCTTGAATACTATTATTGTTTCTATCCTTTCTGATGAGTTTAAAGCATGATTATCTAAATTTATATAGTGCTCTTCATTTTATGATCGTTTAAATTATTACTATTGTGCCCAAGTATTAAATGATCAGGCCATGGAATTGTTGATATTAAATGTTAGAAAATGTTGGAAGGCGGGCTCGCAATAACATCATGAGTTTGATGGGTTTTGTATTTCATAGCAATTTTGTCATTTCTGTATAGATCCAATGGATGCCTTCTGTTCCATTGCGGAAAGAATGACACTCTTTGGCTTACCTATGATTTTATTTTCTTATGCTTGAAAATCAAAACTTAGATGTTAACTTTGAAGTTCAAATGCAATGCTAAGCAACCAAGCGGCTGGTGGTAGTTTTCCTATCATTTCATTATGCAACTTTTAATGTTTGCTTTGCAAATTTATTCTTCTATATTTGGAGGATAAATGGGTAAAACAACTACTACACCAGACATCAAAGGATACAAGTTGCCAATAGTTTTTCCCACAAGTCTCATATTTTGAAATCATTGTACCACATTTTATTATTAATACTATTAAATATATCTTTTTCAATATAAATAATCAAATAATCGTTCATTCAGGAGTCTCTCATATGATTGTATAAATCATTCTTTATAATCTTCATAGCTGAAAAATGCTTGTTAGATAGTATTAGAGCAGGTTTTGCAAGTAGGAACATCGAAGTACAAATATTATTCTTCTTAGTCTCTTCTAATTTTCTTTATGAATTTATAGAGTAATGAGTTTATTATTTCGAGAAGCATTATCAAATAGTTATATTTTAAAAGTCTTCATTATGGCATGGTGAAATATATGAGAGCATTATTAGTATAATTCAAGTTAAATGATTGAAGTGGAGGAATGCATTAGGCTTATTGTGTGATAGAAAAGTACCCCTCAAACTTAAGGAAAAATTCTATATGATAGTGGTGAGACCTGCAATGCTTTATGGTGCAGATTGTTGGCCTTTAAAAGAGAAGCATAAAATTAAATTAAGTGTTGAAGAGATGAGGATGCTCAGGTGGATGAGTGACTTTCCTTTTAGAGACAATGTAAAACGAGCATATACGTGAAAAAGTTTGAGTAGATCCTACGGTAGATTATAGATTAGAGAGAGTCGCCTTAGATGGTTTGATCTCATAAAATGTCGTCCTTCCGATGATATGGCTAAGAGAGTAGATGTATTAATTTGGCTTATTTTAAGAAAGGAGAGTTATAACTAGGTCTTGTTTATAAAATATTATAAATGATATTTTTTTTTATTAGATTTAAATGAGAATTTGACTATTATGAGGACACAACAAAGAAAAACGATTCATGTAGCCGACTACATGTAATGGGATAAATTCTTGATGTTATTGTTATTCATTGTCGCATATACAAGGAAGCACAAAGTTTTAGAAAATTTACTTGATTTTTAGAATCTTTATCATGACCATGGAAAGCTGATTTTCTGTGCAAAGGGAAAATGTACACATTCAACACTTGCAATTAATCATGCTTGATAATCTTTGCAGTTTTGGTAAGGTTCTTCAAAAGCAAATATGATGTCTTGTTCTTAATTCATCAAATCTTCACAATTTTGTTAAGCAATATTATGAGCACCGCTAATTTGACTAACATGAATATGAAATCTATCATTTTTTTTTTCTAATTTTTAAATCCCTTGGAGTCGATCAAACTATCTCCACTATCCTGTTCTCCTATTTTATGTCTATAAAGATATTAAAACAATTAATAAGTTGTATCTTTTTTATACTATACTTTAACCATCTGTTGACCCGTATCCAATTAACAAAAAAAAGAGAAAGAAAATAAATCAAATCCTACATGCTATGCTCGTCGCACGTCGTCCCCGTACCTACGCACGATCCAACGTCATTTCTTACACGATGTCGCCTGGCACTTTTCTGCAGCGTTAAATGTCGGAGAAAATGAGAGAGCTCAGCTCTCTGACTCGCTCGCATGAGCACTCCTCTGCTTATTCTCCCACGATCCCTCTCTCTCCCCCGACAAAATCCCTTCGAGCCGGATCGGAAGTTACGACAATTTGATCGGAAGCTACAAAGGGAGCTTACTCGTTGAGAAGGTAGCCACCTATCTTCCTTTCGTGCACTTCTTCTACTTCTTCGGGGCTGTTCGACTGTGCACCTTCGACGACGTTCCCTGGCGGTCAGATCGAAAGCAACAACAGGAGCTTGCTGCCTCTCCCGAACCCCGATCCGAGCTCCTTTACTTCCTCCGACTCTATCCCTGTTGCCCGACTTCGCTCCGTTCACGACTTTCCCTACCGATTGGATCGGAAGTTAAGACGTTTTGATCGGAAGCAAGCCGAGGAGCTCGCTTGCTGTGTGGGTAACTTTCTCCCTTCGGCCAGCTTCTTCAGCCAAATCCAGTAAAAAAATGGATTTTTTTTATTTATCTTATTTTATTTAATTATAATGATAGTTAATTAATGTTAATTATTAGTTAATTATAGTTATAATTTATTAATCAATTATAATTACTTAATAGTTAGTGATTAATTATAAATTATAATTATTTGATTAATTATAATTAATCTCGATTAATTATAATTAGTCATTATTTAATTATAATTATAATTAATTTACTAATTATAATTAATTAATAATTAATTATAGATTATAATTAATTAATGATTAGCTATAATTACTATTAATTATAATAATAAAAACGACCCTTTGCCTCGATCGTCGTGTACCCGATCGAGCCGACAATCCTCGCTGGACTTCAAGGTATAAGATTCTAACTTAAACCCCGTTCTCGACGTTTGCAGCGGACCGGGGAACCACCTATACGCGCTCTTGTAGCACGGTAGGAGGGAGCCCGGTGCGAAGCATACGACGAGGCGGGTAAGCCCTATACACGCTCTTGTAGCGTGGTGGGGACGGTCCTCGACCTCGACACCGACACTGCCGACGACTGCTACGCAAAGGTATGATGGTCCAAAATCCCATTCTCGACGTTTGCAGCGGACCGGAGAACCACCTATACGCGCTCTTGTAGCACGGTAGGAGGGAGCCCGGTGCGAAGCATACGACGAGGCGGGTAAGCCCTATACACGCTCTTGTAGCGTGGTGGGGACGGTCCTCGACCTCGACACCGACACCGCCGACGACTGCTACGCAAAGGTATGATGTTCCAAAATC